ATGCAATTGGTTCTGGCCAATGAGGTGTGAATTTAAGGGACAGGTGTCCCTTCTGCGTGGAGCCTTAATTGCTAGGGCTCTTTCTTTTTTTCCTCCTGGAGTGATGATTGAAGGCATTTGAGATGGTGGCTGCTCTATCAGCCTGGGTCCTTGAATGTCTAAAATAAGATGACGCCTCTTTTTGAGGGGTGTGGGGCGGTAACCAGGGATTAAACCTAGGAGTTTTTATATTTTATTTAGAGACAGGGTCTTGCTGAGTTACTTAGGGCCTAAGCTGAATTGCTGAGGCTGGCTTTGAACTTACGATCCTCCTGCCTCAGCCTCCTAAAATGTTGGGATTACAGGTGTGCATCACTGCACCTGGCTAGATGAACCCTCTTATTGACCACTAGACTGAATGAGAAACAAACTTTTGCTGTTTTAAGCCCATAAGATTTGGTCTAGCTAACCTTGAATAATACATTTACATACAACAACCAATCCTACAGGCTACCTGGTAACATCCTGAACAATAATTATTACTGTTGCTGTGTTATCGTTACCATGGTCATTACAGGTGCCACTTTTAAGTGCCTCTTGTGTGGACCAGGCTATGCAACCCAGTGTATGCAATGTTTCCATTAATGTCTACAACAAATCCAGGAACAGTTATTATTATCCTATGATCAAGATGAGAAAACAGAAGCTTAGGGGTTGGCACAAATGTTTTACTTGCTGTATTGTGGTCATTGAAGATGCTGTTCACTCCCTGATCCTTAGCTGATGTCCCGTGCAATCAATGCTTTTTAACAATGATTGAACAGTTGTTATTGTCCCTTGGAAGATAACTTTAAAACATGTATCAAGCACCTTTAGAATATTTATACCTTTTGCCCACTCATTACTTATCTCTACCCAGGACTTTGCAGTGTAGTAAGATTGCTTGACCAGTAAATACAGCCACGTACTGCACACCATTTCAGTCAGCTGAGGACCCCATATCCAATGGTGGCCCCATAAGATGATAAGGAGGTAGGAGGGAAGAATAGAAGAATACTGGACTAGATGAGCCCTCTTATTGACCACTAGACAGCTGGGACTGAAGGGAAGGGTGGGTGAACAGGAAACAGGAAAGACAGTGAAATGAATCTGACTTAACTTTCCTATGTACCTATATAAATCCATCACAGTGAGTCTCCACGTCATGTACAATCACGAGACTGAGGTTAGAATTAGTATAAGATGTATTCCATGTTTGTATAAATATGTCGAATTATACTCTATTGTCATGTATAACTACAAAGAACAAACTTAATTTTTTAATTAGAAGTTTATAGTTATATATAGTTATTGGGTTAACACACCCACTTTTTTTTTTTTTTTTTTTGGTGCTGGGATTAGAACCCAGGGCCTTGTACATGCAAGGCCAGCACTCTCTCAGCTGAGCTGTATCCCAAGGCCTAAAGAACAAATTTAAAAATAAATAATGTTCAAAAGATGATAATGGAGCTGAAACGTTCCTATTGCCTAGTGAGATCAAAGTTAAAGAGAGGCAAGAGAAAAGGAAACTTCAGAAGAAAAGGATGTCCCAAGAAAATTCACAGTGAAGGGCTTGGCAGAAGCTTTGTAAACCCCAGCAAGCTCCTTCAAAAGTGTGAAAGCGTGGATGGGGCTGGGGCTCGGTGGTAGCGCACTTGCCTGGCATGTGTGAGGGCACTGGGTTCGACTCAGCACCACATATAAATAAATAAAATAAAGGTCCATCAACAACTAAAATAAATAAAAAGTTTGAAAGCACAGACCCAACACTGAAAGGTTCTCATTTATAGAGAAGAGTATTATCCACGTGTAAGCAAATCACGATGAAGAAAGAAGCAAACCACCATGCACACAGTTCTGCAGAGTGCCACCTCTTCAAGAGCCTCAGAAGTCCTTCAGGGGTGATTCCAGAGACGGTGTCTCTGTCAGAGGAGACGGCAGCTCCACAGCTCCCAGTGTGCTGCTGTCCCTAAATACCTTCCAGGGGGACAAGATGTGAAGGTAGCAGACCGTGGCAATTATTATCCTGGCCTTGTGTAGGCTAATGTGTGTGTGTGTGTGTGTGTGTGTGTGTCTTAGTTTTTAACAAAAAAGTTTTTTTAAAATGATTAGTAAGGGCTGGAGGCGTGGCTCAGTGGTAGAGCACTCGCCTGGCCTGTGTGAGGCCCTGGGTTTGATCCTCAGCACCACATATAAGTAAATAAAAAAGATCCATTGACAACTTAAAAAAATTAAAGAATGATTAATAGACGAAAGCTCAGAGAGTAAAGATATAAGGTAAGAAACCTTTTTGTATGGCTGCTATAATGTTTGTTTTCAGCTAAGTGCTATTGCAAACAGAGTGGAAAAGTTTTTAAAGATCTCAAAATTTATGAAGTAAAAAAGTTACAGTGCAGGGGGGTGTAGCTCAGTGGTAGGGAATTCCTCTAGGGATGTGGGGCCCAGGGTTCAATCCCCAGTATCACCAAAAACAGAACAATCCAACAAAAAAAAAGGGGGGGGGTGAGTTACAGTAAGCTAAGGTTAATTTGTCACTGAAATGTCTTTATAAAGTTGCTGTGGCCTAGAGTAGAGTGTTTATAAAGTGTACAGTAGTGTACAGTAGGGCATCAGGTCCACTCACTGCACAGTCACTGACTCACCCAGAGGAGCTTCCAGTCCTGCAAACTCCACTCACCCTGAGGGCCCTGGACAAGCTCACCATCTTGTTGTCTTTCATATCATAATTTTACTGTAACTTTTCTATTTTTAAACCCCCAAACACCATTGTGTTACAATTGTCTACAATATTATGTGCAGTAACATGCTGATCAGTGCTGTGCCCTAAAAGCAAGACCCCACCCTATAGCCTAGGTATACAGTAGGCTCTACCATCCAGGTTTATATAAGTACACCCTGTGATGTTGGAACGAGGAGAAAATCAAGTGAGTTCTTAAAACATTTCCTTGTTGTTAAGCTATACATAACTGTGTGTGTGTATGTGTGTGTGTTTGTGTGTGTGCGCACACGTGCATGAAATACATGAAAAATAAATTGGTGACATTGGAGTTTGTCTATTGATTAGTAATTTTAGCCATATATTTAGAGGGTCATTGTTCTAGTTCCGGGTTTGCCTGTGGCCTCGAGTTTGGTGTTTGTCTCCTCCGGAAGGATTAATTTCCCATTGATTTTAACAACTGTCTTTCCTTTTGAATTTTTATTTATTTATTTGTATGTACCAAGGATTGAACTCAGGGCACTCGACCACTGAGCCACATCCCCAGCCTTATTTTGTATTTTATTTAGAGACAGGGTCTCACTGAGTTGCTTAGTACCTCGCCTTTGCTGAGGCTGGCTTTGAACCTCCTGTCTCAGCCTCCTGAGCCGCTTGGATTACAGGAGTGCGCCACTGCGCCCGGCTCCCTTCTTTTATAGCAGTCCCTGAAAGCTCTCTGGGAGACTGTCCCTGAAAGCGCTCTGGGAGACTGTCAAGATATAAACACATTTTGAAATATGTTTAGGTCCACAGTATATCTGCTCTCTGGGGCCCAGAGCGCAGGCCTCGGGGTGTGCAGCGCTCCTAACAGGAGAACTAAAGGAACCCTAGGTGAGTGCGCGGCGCCCCCGCGTGGCACCTGTTGCAATAACAGTCTGGGTTCTCCCGCTGGGGTCCTGGGCCAGGAGACTTTCCTGCTCTCTCCCTTGGTCTGTGATAGCCCCCCCCCCCCCTTTTTTTTCCACCTTTTAAAAATCACATTTATTTTTATACATTTATATATTACGTATTTCTAAATTGGATACATACCATCATATATCAGGTTTGAGTATTTGTACAGTATGTTTCTATGTTTGGCACGTAAGTTACATTTTAAATATTTTATTGCCTGTAGTATGCCTAGGGTGCTTCTTACTCCAGCCTTAAGCTTTGATTGTATTACCCTTATTGAAATATTTAGAATCTTTTAAGTCGTGATAAAGGCACCTAGGAAGTGGGCCCCCAAGATATGCTAGGCACTTTTACCTACACTTTTTAATTCTCAGTTTGGTCCCCACTTCAACAAGGAGGCTGAGACCAGAGGGGTCAGAAAAGCCCTGGCTATCGGCGTCCTTCATCCACGTCCTGTCCTTCATCCACTCCGCCTTAGAGCCTCCCTGTTTCTCTTCCTCCAGTTCCTTGGAATCACAGGGTGACCCAGGTCGTCAGGTGTAGCCTGGGTGTGGGACTTCCAGCGCAGGTGTGTCATCGCCCTCTTCTACTGCACCTGCGTGGCCTGCCTTGCCCAACAGGGGCATTGTTCCCCAAGTGCGACCAGGACACTGGGTCCCGAGTGTGTATGAACCCTCCAAGCGGGCCGTGGACTTTGCTCCCCGGGGACACTGAACTCGCGGCCAGAACCTCCCCCTTCAGGCCGCCCTGTTCCTCCAGCTGCTCCAGGAAGCTCCGCGCCGCGTCCAAATTGTGGCTCATGGCACCATCGGCCCGCAAGGTCCCGTCCAGTAGTTGCGCTCAGCGCTACCAGCCTGTGATAGCCCTTTTGTCGCAATGCTGTCTTCTGATAACCCATCCTTTGGAGGCAGTGGATCCCCTCCTCCTACCCAGGCGCTCAGTCTGCACGCTGGGTCCTTCCTCCCGCACACCCACACCCCCACGCTTCCCAGCCTCATCAGACACCGAAGGTCCCCACGTTATTTTATTACTGTACGCAGAGGCCAGTTAATTCCTCGGGGCGGCCCTCCGCCCTGTGTGTCTGCGTTCTCTGGGATGGGAACCCCGTGGGTCTGCGGTCAATGGGTCCAAGGGTCGCACGCAGCCGCGGGGGATGCCACCACCTCCCCTCCCCAAAGTTGGGCCAGCCGGAGTCCGTGGCCCGCAGCCCCCGGCTGGGAAGGCAGGTCAGGAGGGACCACTCCGCGTGTGGCGTGACAGAAGGCTCCTGGGAAAGGGGCGGCAAGTGACCCCGCCACCACTCTTCTTGGCGGGCGCTGATGGGGAGCTGTGGATTCTACTCCGCGTAGCAGTAGGTCCCGTAGGCCGCCTGCTGGGGTCTGGGGAAGCCGAAGCTGCGCACCCCGGGGTCCGGGAGGCCCCCGCAGCGCGGCCGCGGAGCAGTGATGGGGAAGCGCACGCTGCCATCCGCCAGCCAGCCGCCGTCGCATTGGTCCAGCCCCGAGAACTTCCAGGCGGCGTAGAGGTGCCCGACCTTGGCTACCACCGCCCCGCGCCGCCGGCACGCCGCGTGCGCTTCAGAGAGCGTCAGTCGCCCAGGCACGAAGAACACCTGGCCTAGGGACCAAACCGGTCACCAGCCGCGGGGAGCGGGGAGGGGCGCTGGCACCAGGATTCAGACCCCCGGGCAGCGGAGCAGGGCGCAGGGCCAGCACCACTCGGGTGGTGGCAGAGAAAGGGTCGCGGCAACCGGATGCAGGTGGGTTTCGGAGCGGGGAAGTAGCCGGGGCGGGCGGGCTGCTGGAGGGACGGCGGAGCCTCGGCAAGGGAGGCCACTGCCGGCGACCCGCGCTTTGCGCCCTGCACTTTCCGCCCCTATTCTTCAGACCCTGTCCCAAGTCCCGGTGGCCGGCTCCCTCCGCCCCTCACCTGCCAGAGCCGAGGTGAAGCAGAAGGCGTCGTAGCGGTCGCGCTTGCGGTCGCGTGGCCCATAGCTGCGGATGCCCGGCCGCCCTCGGCCGCCGCACGGAGCGCGCGCGGTGAGCACCGGGTAGCGCACGGAGCCCTCCAGCAGCCAGCCCGCGTTACACCAGTCCAGCCCCTCGGTCCACGCTGCGCAGGGCGGAGGGCGGGGGGAGACAGGCGTCAAGGCACCGGGCTCTCCGGCTGGGCCCCTGGTGACAGCCCGGGGTAGGGTCGGGCGGTGCCGGGGCTTGGCCGCTCACCCTGGTACAGCTGGCTGTAAGTGGCCAGGCGTCCGTCCTGCTCCTCGCACGCCTGCTTCGCCTCGTAGTAATTGAACTGGTACCGGCCGCGGCTGGGTTGGTAGGGAAACACCACACCTGCCGGGGGCGGGCAGTGGGGGGGGGCGACAGGTGGGCGGAGGGGAGAAGAGGGCGGCGCGGCCTGGGGAAGCTGCTTCGAGGACCCGGGAGCGGCGGGTCGGTGCTGGGACTGAGTTCTGGGAGACCCGCGCCAGGCGACCCTGTCCAGGGAGGAGCCAGAAGGCCGCGGAAGGGCCTCACCTTCCAGGCGCAAAGTCAGCGCCACGCTCTCGTCCTCGATGCCGTTGACCAGCTCGCAGCGGTACCGGCCCTCGTCCTCCAGGCGCACGCCCTCGATGACCAGGGAGGCGTCCAGGCGATGGCTCCTACGCATCCTGGAGCGCCCTCCCAGAGGCCCATAGCCCCGGGCGTGCAGTCCGTTGGTGATGAGGATCAGTGTCTCCCGGAGCTCCCCGGGCTCCACTTTGCTCCAGCGTACCTTGTAACTGGGAGGCGAGGCGCCCAGGACGCAGGGTAGCGTGGCCGTGGCCCCACGACGAGAGTGAATGACCTCGTGGATGGGGGGCAGGAGGTAGTGGGGGCCCGGGTGGAATGCTGGGCAGAGGGGGCCACAGTGGCAGGAACCCCCTGATCCTCACTGCCCCAAGTGCCCATGCAGACCCTGCCCCCAGAGACTTTCCCCTGGTCCCCTGACCCTCTCCATTGCCCATTCCCCACTGACTCTCCTAATACCTCTAACAGCGGCCCTTTCCACTCTTCCCTCCCACCCCTGATGTCCACCCCCCAGTGTGTTCCAGGTTCTGGGCTGGGCTGGGGTCTTACCTGAATCCCCCAGGGCTTTGTGGAAGATGGCAAAGGCCCAAGGGAGAAGGAGTCGGCACAGTGCAGGAAGGGTGAGACCACCTGGCATGATGGGCAGTCCGAAGGCACTGTCTGCAGGGCACAAAAGGGGCATTCCCTAGGACCGGGGGAATGGGATGGGAAAAGAGGAAACCCCTTAGGAATTCCTGGAGGGAGCTATCCAACTGGGAAGCCCAGGGGGCAGAAAAGGAGCTGGTGACAAAAGGAAGGTATGGCGAGTGGAGGGAGTAAGGACCCCACCCACTCTGCCGGAGGGCCATCCCTCTTCCTGGCCCACCTCTCCTCAGTCAGCAGGTCCTGATATAGCATCTCTGTCCTGTCCCATCCCAGGTGCTACTTCCTGAGCGTGCCACCCAGTTGTCATCTCCAGTCTGTCCCCCCCACACCCCTTCTCCATCCCAAATTCAGAATAAATATAACCTTGACATCTCCTGCTTGAAACAGTGGCTCCCCAGTGTCCTGAGGATGAAGTCCAGTCTCCTGACTACAGTTTCCCAGTCTCCCTATGATCCAGTCTCCCCTGCATGTCTGAAATCAACCCCTGTGCTGTCCCTCACCATCCCCCACTCTTCACTGTGCTCCAGACATGCTGGACTTCTGGCAAATTCCAAAGCAGCCCAGTTGAAGGTCACCTCCTTTACACAGGCATCAGTTGGCCCCCACCCCCTCTGGGAAAACTTCTCATTCCCAGTTTGCTATACTGTAGTGCACTGTGATCTAATGTACTGGACTGGGGATTGTTTTTCCTTAGAAGTAATTTTATTAATATCTAACCTAATGGTGTGAATTTGAAAATAATCATGTGCATGTGTAGATTATATAAGTGAGGTTTTCCAGAAGTTATAAAGTATAAAATTAGAAAGCCATAAAAACTATTTCAGGGCTGGGGTTGTGGCTCAGTGGTAGAGAACTTGCCCAGCATACAAGAGGCACTGGGTTTGATCCTCAGCACCACATAAAAATCAATCAATCAATCCATATATTATTAAAAAACTATTTCAAATGCAATTGTCTATTTTGTCAGAAGATTCCCCCCTTCTTTGTCATATCTATTTTAAATTAGACTGAGGACCCTTTGACCTGGTTTTATTTTTCAAATGTGGCTCTTCCACATCCTAACTGCAGAACTTTAAACAAGTTATTTAACCTCTCTCTGCCTCCTGTCTGCATTAGTAAAATGTGGATAATAATAGTATACCTACCTCACTGAGCAGTAAGTAGATGTGAGGATTTGATGAATTAATATGGTAAATGTAAAGGGTTTAAAGCAGTTCCTGATACAGAATGTGTGTGTGTGTGTGTGTGTGTGTGTGTTTGCGTGCTTTCATCACCATCATCTCCAGTTCTTAGCTCTTGTTTGTGACACACAGTAGGAGTGTCTGTGGGTGTTTTAATGAATGAACTTACGTTAAGGACCTCTGAGAGGAAGAGAGAGGGTATGGGGAGAGAAAGGAAACTTCCTGAAGAATAGCCAGAAATCTAAAGAACTGAGCTCCATCTCCCTGCAAATGAGGGCCAGACACTAACGTGCTGGAGAAACAGTTTAGTAAGTAAGAAGTAAGAAGTTCCCAGTGATTCAAAGTGAGAGTACTTGCGACAGGATCTGAATGAGAGACCCTCCTGCACTGCTAGGAAAACCTGCTAAATAAGGGTGACCATGGCCAGGTGTAGTGGCACACACCTGTAATTCCAGCAGCTGGGAGGCTGAGGCAGGATCGTGAGTTCAAAGGCAGCCTCAGCAACTTATCAAGGCACTAAACAACTCAGGGAGACCCTGTCTCTAAATAAAATACAAAAAAGGGCTGGGGATGTGGCTCAGTGGTTAAGTGCTCCTGGGTTCAATCCTCAGTTACCCCCCCCCCACCAAAAAAAAAAAAAAAAGAGTGACATGAGAACTGACATTGAATCTGGAACCAACTATAATGACAGCTAGCATCAACATCTTAAATGTTCAACATGTATAAAGACATGAATTGGCATGAACATACTTTATACAAAGATATGAAAAATTGTGCTCTGTATGTGTAATAAGAATTGTAATACATTCTACTCTCATGTATTTAAAAAAATAAATAAATAATTAAAAAAGAACTCTGAAATGACTAAAAAAATGTTTAAAGTCAAATATGCCTGACACCACTTCAAGCACTTTGTGTATATACTTATATACATAAGTGTGTATTTCCCCTTCCTAGCAATCCTGTGAGGACAGGAACTAACAAACACCATATGACACATGTTGAAACAAAGGTGCACACTTTTTAGGAAACTTCAGTGTGGTCACATAGTAAGAGGAAGGATCTGCTGGGATTTGAACCCAGATCTGACAAGCTCTTTATCACTGATCTATATTTCTGTATTGTTTAAAAAATATTTTGTCAATAGACATTTATTTATTTATTTATTTATTTATATGTGGTGCTGAAAATCTAACCCAGTACCTCCCACATGCTAGGCAAGTGCTCTACCACCGAGCCACAACCCCAGCCCCATATATTTCTGTAGTTTAAAATGAGTCCACATAGTGTTTTCATGCTTTTGCCGAAAATGACACGGTAGCCAGCAGCCCCATTGCCTACCTGTGAGAAGCTGGTCTCTTCCAGAGACGAAGGGAGCAATGCTCAGCTGCTCTCTGTCCTGCTTAAGGCAGTCCAGTGGGTCCTGGTAAAGGTGTTTCCGGGTCTCTCTGGAAGTCCAAGCACTTTGAAGCCCCAGGGCTTGAGCACTTGACCAACGTGGTTACCCCCTTTATACCTTTGAGAAAGGCTTCATCCCTGTGCTCAAAGAAGAAGAGTGCTGGAAGCTTCTCTCAACCATCAGTCCAGTAAGCCAGGCTAAGTGACCTGTGTCCAGCCCCGTACCTTTATCTGTGGAGCTCACCATCCTGGGACCAGGAGGAGATGATGGGTTTGGGATGAGGGGTGGGAACCAAGAGGGAAGATGGAGTAAAGGGGTCAGCTCAGAAATGATTACCTGGAAGAGTGCAGAAAGCAGGTGCCTTGTTTCTTCTAAACACTCTTGAACCAGAAGGGGGTGGACTGACCAGTGGGTGTGAAGGTGTAGGACCGGTGGGATGGGAATGAGCCCTGAATGTGGCTCACAGATCCATGGCAGTCAAGCTCGGGTCCTCTGCACTGCCATGTGGGTCTCATTTAGGCAGCTCCTCTACTTCGTCCCTGCAAGTCCTCTGCCCACCGCATCTGGGTGTGCATGGCCTTTGGGAAGAGGCTATTAAGGTGAGATGCTTCAAGGAAGCTGACCCCTTCTATCCAGCTCTGCCCTCCCCATCTGTCCGTCTGTCTGTCCTTTCCTTCTCTGTTCCCACCCATCGGAAGCACAATTTCCCATTGTCTCTGTCTTTCCCCCTATTGTTGACTAACAGGGCGCCTTTCTTTATGCCGTGGGTAATGGCAACGAAATGTCAACAGCTGGGGATGTGGGATGCAGGACCGGCTGGCACATACCACCGGAAAAAGAGCCTGGGTGGGGGGCGGGCTCGGGACAGGAATTGACATCCAAGGAGAAGAGAATGGGCTGAGGGGGAGAGAACAGGTGGTGAGAAGGTTGAAATGGGGTCTCCCTCAGAATTCCAAGTTGCAAGATTCTGAAAAGATTTTATCTGAGTCCAGGGGAGTGGCCTGCTTCCATAGAGGGCAGAGGAAATAGCTACTATTAATGCAGAGACATAGAAGAGATGGAAATTAGATGAGGAGGAGGACTTTTCTTTCCTCCTTTTTTTTGGGTGGGGGGTACCAGGGATTGTACCCAGGGGACTTAGCCACTGAATAAACCACATCCCCAGGGCTTTTTATATTTTATTTAGAGACAGGGTCTCACTAAGGTGCTTAGGACCTTGCTAAATTGCTGAGGCTGGCTTTGAACTTGCAATCCTCCTGCCTCAGCTTCCCAAGCCGATGGGATTACAAATGTGTGCCAGTGTGCCTGGCTTAAAGTCTTTCTATTGAGGGATGATTCACATATTCAAAGAGCACACAGATCTTAAGTGTAAGATCAATGACTTTTTTTACCTGTGTATACATCATGAACACAGGTAACCCCCTCCAGATCAAGATTCAAAACATTCCCTACAATCCAGAATAAATCCAACTCCTTTTTGTTTGCTATCAAAGCAGATGAAGGACTCCCACTATACATCCCCATTAATAGTTGTTTAGGAAAATTCAGGGCTTTAAATTGCTTCTTAGCTTTTTTTTTTCTCTGCTGAGCAAACCTATGTCTGTAGCCTTGGGTTTCTAGAACCACACAGTTCCAGAACTGGGGGTCACCTCAGAACAGTGAGCTTCCTCATTTACCAGATGAAGAAGAGATAGGGAAAAAGGTGATTTGTCCCAAACCAGAACTTTCTGCTGTTTTCCACCAATCCCTCTTTGGTTTCTCTTCAAGTCACAAGAGCTCCAGGTTCTCACTTGGACCACACAAGGGCACCCCAGTTATACTCTTCAGGGGTCCAGTTGGCTGTATTCCTTCTGTTCACTCCATCCCTGTCCCCAAGCCTTTCCTTCCTCCTCCCTGGACAGTCTCTCATGAGAGAAGACAAATAGCCCCCTGTCTCCTCGAACAGGACGCCCTGATCCAGTGCATCTGATTGGCTTCTTCCCAGTTCAAAGAGGGAGAGGGAGAGGGACGGGAGGGGAGGACAAATGCTCCCCAGCCTGGATGGTTGTCTGTTTCCCAGGTTCACCCATCCTCCTCCTCTCCTCCAAATCACTTCTTAACTGTGGCTGGAAGTCTTTGGTATGTGAACCCATAAAGGCTGAGCAGGGCAGAGAGGAAGGCCTTGAAGTATTTGATAGACGCAAGAGGAACCCTTTGACGACGTCCAGAAAGGGTCAGTTACTGTTGGAGATCACATAGTAATTAAGTAGCCCAGATAGTTCATCTCCAACGCTAGAGGAGTTCTTCCTTGCCACGAAAGAAGAATCCCGCCAAATGTAGAAGAAGGTGAAATGAGGATTGCTTTGTCTCTCTCCCTCCCGCCCCGTTGTGTTTTGTTTTATTTTCTACTGAGCCACCCAACACCCACCCCAC